ATGCTTTGAATACAGGTATACCTTGGGTTATGTTGTTTTGAGTTAAGGCATTCTCAATTATACGTTTGTCGAAAAATATATGGAAAAATAAAAATCAAGTTTAAGTCATTTTATTCAACTTTACAAATATTGAAGTTGTAATATCACTAGAAAAGCATTAAAAGCATATAAAATCATTTTACTGTACAATAAATATAATTTTCTATACTTTTATTCTTATTAATATACACATCATAGATTTTAGAGAATGAAATATGAAAACATCTGTGATTCTTTGTTGTCATCTTATTTAGCAGTCTTTAAGAGCTCATTTATTAGTATTTTCCACAGTAGTTCCCATATCTACCATTTGGCGTCATTGTCAGTACCAGTTGTGATTCCCACAAAGTTGAAATCCAGTTTAGTTTAAGCATATGCATGGTATACGTCCGCTTATTGCCTACTCTCACATTCTCATTCATTTGTGACTTTATATTTTGTGCCAATGGCTCCTAAGAAAATTCCTAGTGCAAGTGCCAAGCATCATGCTATGATACTGGACAATAAACTTACTATGATAAAACGCCATGAAAAAGGTGGAAATGTTATATTGATTGCTCGATCTTTTGGAATGAGTCGGACAACTGTACTGATGATTGTTTGCAATAAGGATAAGATTTTGGCACATATCAAATTTGATGCCCCAGGGATGAAGAATACGGTTATCTATAAGAAAAGAGGAAAAATCTTTGAAGAGATGAAACAACTTCTTTCTCTTTGGATTGATAGGTTGAATCATCAATGTGCTGCTATTAGTCAAGAAATCATTCAAATGAAAGCGTTGTCTTTGAGGACCTGAACAAAAAAATACCCAGATGACAAAGATGTAGAGTTTAAAGTGAGTCAAGTCTGGTTTATGAGATTTAAAGAATGAAGTTAACACTCTATTAAGAAGCAAGGTAAAAGTACATCAGCTGATGAACAAGCAGCTGCTGATTTTCCTAAAGCATTATCTAAGATCATCAAAGAAAACGGGTTTCTTTTTGAACAGATTTTTAATGTTGATGAAACTGGATTATATTGGAAAAATTTGCCAGGCCATTCTTTTTAATTGCTAATGCTAAGCATAAGGCTATATCACTGATAAATTATTTTATTCAGAATACTCTACGTACATATCATAAATACTGTAATATGCAATGGGAGTGATTATTTGTGGTTTATAGCGTGGTTATTTCAACTTGTCATTTTTTGTCATGACCTCTGGAACTAATTAATGACATAGGGTGAGGTATACCTGTATTGCTGCCTGCATATGGTCTGGTGCTTCTGCTATATATTTAGAGATTCTTGATAAAATCCAAAGAAGATTATGTAATATTATTGGTCCAGATATTTCAGCTTCAGTCACTTTCTCATTGTCGTAAAGTTACTTCCCTGTGCCTTTTCTATAAATAATTTCATGGTAATTGTTTTGATGAACTTTCTTCTATGGTACCAAGACTTTATGAATTTAAGTGCAGTGTTGTGTTGTAATGGATTCCAGCTCAGGATGAGAACTCACTACTCTGAGTTTAATTTCCAGTCAAATTCATTAGATTCACTTGCATGCAAATACCCTTAGGAAATGAATCCATCTCTTCCCACCCAGCTATCGGTTGAATAGCAGGACTGTGTTCTTTAGCCTTGGTTGGCAACCAGTCTACCATAGAAAGAAATGGGAACATACTGTGGGGAAAAAATCTGCCTCGTCAGTCATGTATCAAAAGATACATGATTGCCCAAGCATGTATCACGTATGGTACTTAACTGACTGACTGAATAGATTGGCAGCAAGGTCTCATTAATTTACAGTTGAATTGGCTAGATGTAACCATAAGTTCTATGCTAACAGTTTCTTTTCTCGCACTTCTCACTTGTAGAACTCTCTTCTGGCTCCATGCTTTCCAACTGATTGTAATCTTCAAAAATTTAAATGTAGTGTCACTTATTATTTATTGTCTTCCTGATTACTCCTTTGTTGTTTTGCACCTTAATGTTTCTGTTTTCTAATTCTTTCACACTTGATAACCCCTTGTGTATTAGAAACCTTGCATGGGGTGAATTTGATGAAAAAAAACCCAACTCTGTCTATATTTCTGGGATGATGAGTTATCATTATTTACACTATTTACATTCAGACTGTTATCCTCATCTTTGTTGTTATTATCACAATGATTCGGCCATTGTTCTGTCTGACCTTTCTCCAATATATATCGATCTCGATAAGTTACATAATGTATGAAGGGAAAGGGGTAATTATCAATCATTTTGGAATGAAGTGAAAATACTGGACAAGGAAGAACACTGGTCAGTAAGATGTCTGAAAAAATTTGTATGGCCATGTTCATAATATCAACTATGTACACAGCCACAATGTGCTGAGCTTTTTTGCAAAATACAACCATTCCTATAAATCTAGATACATACATAAAAAATCCACACCTTCAGTTAAAAGTAAAAATAAAATCATAATGGCTAAAAGAATAGCCCCCTACATACATTCTACATTTTGTATTTACACCCCAATAATATATTAAGTTTATATTACCTTTGAGCTTTGAATTTGTGTTTAATTTAGCATTCCTTCCATGAAAGCCACTATTTTTTAAAAAACAACCATAATAGTTTGTGCCTGATGAGTTGGCAAAAAAATGTAGGTATATATATATTTATTAATATATACTTCTTAACCGTTTTGTTTACACCTTATAATAAACTAAGTAAATATTTATTCACTTACCTGTGTATCTATGGTAACGCATGTATATACATTTACTAATATCAAATTATTTGGTTTATATCCACATTTATACCTATATATATATATATAGAGAGAGAGAGAGAGAAAAACTGAGATCAACATCAAGTGGCAACAATCTGTTTGATGTTTGAACTCAATCCTCAGGCCATTTGTGTTGTGTTTTGGCTTGACTATATACACTGGTTTATGGAGCATTATGGGTAGCAAGGTCTATTGCATTATCCTAATAGTTATTGGTTAGGCAGTAATGGTTATATTTCAAATTATTTGAAATGCTTTTGAAAAGATATAATTGCAGATCCAAATGCTGTTATCTGTAATTACTATATGGTATTGTTTGTCAACTTTTAACTCCTATTTATTATTGATTACTCAGGGTATTTTGTATTTATTCATTATTTATTGTTGATTATTATTATTACATTTATTTGTGTTTATATGTGCATTCATAGTTTATTAAAGTTTTTTGTTTATTTCTTAGTATTTTCCTCCTTTCAGGAGTTGTTATATCCTATTTGTTGTATTTAAAATATCATCTCTGTCTAAAGTATGCTACATTATCTGTGTGCTATATAGTGCATTTTTCTGCATTTTTCATGGTTATGCTTTACAAGGTATTCATTTTTACTTTTTGATTTTTTTTAAGTGATGGAGTAAAAATTTATTTTTGTGTCTGCATTTTGAGATAAGTTCTGATTTATATAGTAATTTGTGTTGGTCTGTGAAGGTGATTATAGCTATTTTCTCCTCTAGAATATTCACAGTTTTAGGTTTTACTGTTGTCAGCTGATGCTTTTTCCAATTATTCCAAGATATTTTTGGTGTATTTTAGTTTTTGTTTTTAATTTCCCTTATCTGTTTAGAAAGTTGTTTGTGCATCTACTATATGTAAAGGATGTTTCCTATGCATAGTTTCTGTTTTCAGGATCTTTCTGTTACTCTTATATATATTTATCATCATGATCTGCTGATTTTACAGTGGCTTGGTATATTATATTGTTTTCCAAGCAGTTGCCATTTATGTGCTCTATAGTATTTTATTGTTATCCATTAATATTTACCTTATGTTGGTAGTTGCATTTTGGTAGTTTTTGATGTGCTGATTTTTTTTATGCTAATGTTCCTTCAATACAAGGCCCAAGAACCACTCAAGGTAGAGGGTGTTGTATGAGCATAAGAAAAGACAAGAAGTGAAGTTCCTGGAGTTATGCAGGAAAGATAGCATGTAACTCTAAAGTTGAAGAGGTCAAGATTGTAGTGATTGGAAAACATCCAGCCAGGAGTTCTGTTCTTGGAAAGAAGCTGTCCAAGTTGAACTTACTTCTTACTAATATAGCACAAAGGGAATGAGGAAGATTCATTCTTGTGTATATGGCATGGCTGGTCTCAGTTGTAAATGTCAGGGGTGGTAGGACTACAGAATAAAGCTCATCAGAACATGGAAATAGCCATATAGTAGTGAAATGCTTGCAACATTTCATCTGCAGGAAAGGAGTTGTAGGTGGGGGGGGGATAATCCATCACTCACAAGGCTGAATAGATACTTTTGAACTTGATAAAGACAAGCAAGTGAGGACTTGGCAGCTCCAGCCTAAATATGGCAGCAATACACCATTTTTGGTTGGATCTGGCTTTTGTAAAGATAGCGTATAACAGGTGGAGTCAAATACTTACTTAACAATAGATCAGATATGAGTTTCACTTGAATCCCAATAGGTGAATGTTTAGTTTCCACTTGGTAGAGGTGGAATATTGCAAGTTTGGCTTTGGCTGTATTGAATTTTACAAACCAGTTTTTCCCTCATTGATCCACCTGGACTCGGTCAGAGGAGAGATGATACTAGAGGTGCAATTTCCCAGAGGATGTAAGAATTCATAAATAACATTATTTTTATATAGGATTCATATTTGAGATCTTGATGTATTGGTCATAATTAGGTTAGTTATTTATACATATTGATTGACTGATTTGTTTTTATGGCTTATCAACCCTTTTGCAGAAAATATTTTTAGATTGTAAGATTTTTTTGCGATAATAATGGGTTAGTGATGCAAGTCTTACTAATTAACCCATAGCTGGTGGAAGACCAGGTGGATTCATACCTTTCCCAAGGGTATTTGCATATAAAAGAATATAACAAAACCAATGGGAATTGGAGCTTGGCTTGCCAATTAATAATTCTGAACCATTATCCATTATACCACCCACATATACAAGCTTACAGCACCTGGTATTCCCAAGCAGTCATCCATCTAAGTACTGATCAAGCTCAACATTGCTTAACTTTGGTGATCATACCAATGTGTCCGTAAGCCAGGTATATACATGCATGCACACACACACACACAAAGTAAGATTTAAAGTGTGAGCCAAACATTTTGGATAATTTGAGCAAATTATACAAACCAAGTGTAATATTTAAGTGAGTGATTTGAGCCTCCAACTTAAATTAGGCAAATGCCATATCCATTCGGTCATTGTGACTGCAACTGAAATAACCATTAGGTAATCATGTGACTGATTGAATGTACATTTAATTAACTGATATTTTTTCTCTTAAGTTCTATAATTATTTGAATGAATTTGTTATAAATATATTTGTTTTTTTTAATGATGTTTTAAAGCAATTTAAAACAACAAAAATAAATTTAAAATTTCCTTTCTTTTTGAATTATTGGCAGAGAAAGATTTTAATCTTAAAAGTGGCAGCTGTCTTGCTAAAATGCAACAAAAATTCAAAGAAAATCTTTAATTCATTTTCATTGTTTTAAAGGATTTTAACACATCAATATTATTAGAAAAAAAAAAACAAATTTTGTACGACTCAGCACTGAGCATCAGTTGGATAAACAACAAAACAAATGAATCAGTCTTGGAGAAGAGTGACAGTTAGTCCTAACCATAAGGAAGTAAAAATGGCAATACTTTGGCCTATCATTGGGGCCTAGAACCTCTGCATAGAAAGAGATCATAATTTCTAAGTTCTATACTGCATAATTGGTAAACTTTTCATATATTACTGTTTTTGTTGTATGTGTTTAATTAAAAAAATGTAATATTTTAAATTAAGAGTAATTTTCAATATAAACATATGCAGATGTACTTTTTTAATCATCGATATGAGGAAAAGGTTTTATATAGGTGATAGTTTAGACATTTCTGAATGAGTTGGATGCTATACATGATATCTGTATTGTAGTGAACGAGATAATCACGTACCCCGGAAAAAAGTTCGTGTTTTGTGTGCGATCTGCCGGGGAGGGATTGCCAAAAAGAAAAGTAGTCAGCAAAACTCTTATAGCGACTTACCTCGTCAACCCAAGCGAAAAAGAAACAAGTTCGTCGCAGGAGTCGCTATAAGAGTGTATTAATATGCAAATTACGGAGCATCCTATCCCGGCTGTCGACGAATGGAAAAAATAGGTTCTGCCGATAAAAGCAGTTGTTGTTGTCGACTCGGGAGGAAAAATTCGGGCAGTTTTGGCTACGGCGTTAGTGAGTTATTTTCCTGACGTGTTACAAGTGATTCTCTTTTTTTGTGTTGTGAAAGCCACAAATTTGCTTTGAGAACGCTTACTCTTCAAGCTATTTCGGCATTTACTTTGTCTCTCGCAAGATGGCAGAAAGACTGTTCGATATAAAACTGATCCCCGAATTCAGTGGTGATACTAGTGGACAGTCTGTGGTTGAATGGATCGAAAAGGTGGAACTGGTCTGCGAATTATGCGAGATATCGAAGATTGATCGGATTCTTCCTCTGCGATTGAATGGCGGTGCCCTTGCTGTGTATAGGCAGCTGAGTAAAGAACAGAAAAGCGACATTGAGCAAATAAAGCACGCTCTACTAACCGCGTTTGGAACTGACCGGTTCGTGGCCTCACGACCAATTCCAGGCACGGCGTCTACGACCTGGCGAGACAGTAGACGTATATTTGGCAGAATTAAAAAGCTCGCCGTTCCAATCGCACCGCTTCCTGAAGAATGGATGACATGTGCCTTCGTTTCTGGATTGCCCAGTCATGTTAAGCAGATACTCACGCATCATCCAGAATGGAAGACCTGACGCTCAATCAATTGTTGACCAGAGCCCGTGCTGTCATGATCGACGAAAAAGAGGCTGATGAACCAGTGGCCGCGGTTATTCAACCAATTGAAGTCAAAGAAGGTCCGACCCCAGCCATTCGTCACCATGGCGTTGCCACCTGCTATCGGTGCTCTGGGCCGAATCATTTTGCCAGAGACTGCCGCTATCAACGCGAAGAAATGCGCAGCGGGTCGGCGCGAAAGGCACGTCTCGATCTACGATGCTTTCAATGTCAGAAAGTAGGTCATATTGCCTCTAAGTGCCCGGGAAATGGAATGGGGACGCGACGTCAGCGCCGGTCTCTTCCCCGCACCCGAGCATGAAAGTGGCGCTCCCTGTGATTAAGGTACGCATCAATGGAATAACGCGTACCGCTTTAATAGATTCTGGCTGCTCTCGGTCACTCACCAACGATTCGATTTGCTGACAGTGGAGCAGACAAAAGATGGACGTACTAACGGCTGATGGAAAGGCTCTCAGAAGCCGGGGAGTTGGAAACATCAAACTTAGTATTAACAACGGTGACCCTGTCACAGTCAGTGTGTTGGTCGTGGACAGCGCGTTATTAGGTTTCGATCTGCTCCTTGGGATGGACATTATTAAGGAGCTGGGTGGCGTACGCATTACAGAGGCAGGCGAAGTCAAGTTTTCTGATCCGCCCATCTGTGCTACTTTGAAGATTAACGAGCCCGACTTTGGCGCAGAGTTCGACCAAAGGACGAAGACATGGACAGCATTTTGGAAATGGTCGGAAAATAACCCACCAGAAAAGCTCCAGAACCGAGTGTCAGAATATTCGGTGCCCGAACGCGTCAAGGAAGAATACCAGCGCGAATTGCAGGTGTGGCTGGATAACGGATGGCTGACTCCATATCCCGAGGAAGAGCTTGGTCCTCCAAGAGGCCTCATCCCGTTGATGGCCGTGGTACAAAAGAACAAGGGAAAGGTGCGCCCTGTACTAGATTATAGAGAACTGAACGAACATGTAGACACATACACAGCTCTGCTGATGTGTGTGCACAAAAATTGAGAGAATGGCGAACGAAGGGATCCAATGTCTCTGTGATTGACCTTCGAAAGGCCTACTTGCAGGTACGCGTGCACCGGTCACTGTGGCCATTTCAGACGGTGATTCTTAATGGGACGAGGTACTGCTTAACCCAAATGGGATTCGGACTCAATGTGGCGCCGGCCATCATGAAAGCCATCGTGGATGCTGTGCTATCCCAGGATGAGACAATTCGTCAAGCGACGTCAGCCTACATTGACGACATCTACATCAACGAAACCTTAGTACCCGCTTCACAGGTGAGAAAGCATCTTGCTGACTTTGGGCTCGAATGTAAAAACCCAGAACGACTGGAGGATGGTGCTCGGGTGCTCGGCTTGCAGGTCTGGGGGGAGCACAATATGCTGTACTGGAAACGTGGAAGCGAGCTCCCGGACATTCCCAACCACATGACCCGATGCAGCGTGTTTTCGTTATGTGGAAAGCTGGTGGGACATTTTCCCGTGGGCGGGTGGATCCGCATTGCAACTGCATTTATTAAACGTAGGGTGACTGCTGTCACTTCCGGTTGGGATGACACAACCAATGATGCTCCCCTTAGACACATGATAGGGGAAGTCATTACTAGGTTGCGTCAAGACGACCCCGTACGTGGTAAATGGTGCGTTGACGGATGTGAATTTAACGTCTGGGTCGACGCGAGCTCCCTTGCAACAGGAGTGTCTCTTGAAGTAGGTGACACTGTCATGGAAGATGCGTGTTGGTTGCGTCCCGAGAAGGATACGCAACATATCAACCTGTCAGAATTAGACGCCGTTATCAGGGGAGTCACCGCGGCTCTTCAATGGAATGCAAAGGTATTGCATTTATTCACGGATTCCGCATGCGTGTATAAGTGGATAGCAGACACTTTTACGGGGAAGGCTAGGATACATACAAAGGCTGCGAGCGAGATGCTCATTCGAAGGAGGCTAGACACACTGGGAAAGTTGGTAAGTGAATACCACTTATCTGTAGACATACAGCTGGTCAGATCACAGCAGAACAAGGCCGATACTTTAACAAGGGTACCCCAAAATGGCTTGACGCTATTAAGAAAGAGGTAGAGCCGGTAGAACATGTCTGTGTAACATCAGCGAGCAACTATAACTCAGATTTACTAAAATCTGTGCATTGCCAAAGCGGACATCCCGGTGTAAAACGGACCTTATATTTCGTGAGGCAGATTGATCCCTCCGTATCCAAAGCTGCTGTCAGGGCAGTGGTCAGAGAATGCAAGGAGTGTCAGTCCATCGACCCAGCACCTGTGCAATGGCAAAAAGGACAAGTGAGTGTAAGCAAGGTGTGGCACTGTGTTGGAATGGACATCACCCATTATAACAAACATCACTATTTAACCCTGATTGATTGTGGCCCAACCGGTTCACTATTTGGCAGCGTCTGCGCCGACAGGATTCCGCAAGCGTCATTGACCACTTGGGGTCATTGTTCTTTGAACGTGGACCTCCGACGGAACTCCTCACTGACAACGACACTGCATTCCGCAGTGAACTATTCAAAGATTTTGTGGCTTTGTGGGGAGTACACCTCAGATTTCGCTGCGCGTATGTCCCATCAGGGAATGGCATAGTTGAGCGATGTCATCGGAGCATCAAAAGAATCGCTGCTAGGAAGCAGTGTTCCATAATGGAGGCGGTGTATTGGTACAATGTTACTCCGAGAGACAATAATGTATCGCCCTCAACTGCGCCAGCCAACATGATTTATCAGTATAAAGTCCGGCTACGAGGCATTGACGCAACGCGTTCAACTGAACGGATAAACGAACGAGCGCCGTATGACTTGGGCGATCGCGTGTGGGTGAAATCTCCACATAGCCGGTGTACAACCCGGTACCGGGTGGGGCATGTCACTGGACTAAGTAACTCGCGTTCTGTGCTGGTTGATGGCATACCAAGACACATAAAGGACTTGCGTCACTATGTAGGTACAGATACGTCAACAAGTGACACTAGCAGTGAGTGCTCAGAAAGTGAACAAATAATTACCATCGGAGGTAGGGATAGCACCCCTTCAGATGGTGAAGACTCTGTGCGTGAGGTTGTCAGACCAGAAGAATCCTCAGAAGAAGAATCTTCAGAACATTCTTCAGATGATGAAGACTCTGCGCATGAGGTTGTCAGATCAGAAGAAACCTCAGAAC